ATTTTCAATTCCCCATCCCATTAGGCACTTGAAAATGTTGTCCGCAATCGCAATACAATCCAGGGAGGAGGTAGACGAACAAAGTTGAGGATACGTCTATTCAGCCTCCAAGGACTATCTATCCAATGCCCGGTCAACACCATATACTCCATCTTTTGATTCCTTGAATTCCATAAGTCTGTAGTCAAACTGATTTTTTTCACACTCTTCAACAAAGTCTTCAATTTGGCCTTCTCACTTTCATATACCTTCATACAATCTTTTTTACAAGTATGACGGGAAACCGGAGTCCATCCAAGAATCCCATACTTCATCATATTGTTCAAGCCCTCTTCCTCCACAGCTGTAAATGGATGCTCATGCATAAGCACCTAATGGGCGATCAATTCCCTCATTTTCGACATGTCAAACTTCCCACTTAAAGCTGGCAAAATAGTAGTTGCAACATCATTACCGGCACTCGGAAAACTAATATGTTGTTACCTCATGGAAGCTTTTCTCCTTAAACACCGGCTTAAATGTCTATTGAACTAGGTGGTGCTTCCGGTGGCATTAATACACAACTTGACTTTGCAATGGATACACTCAGCCTTTTTGGTACCATTAGGGAGTACCACCTCCTTGAACTCCATCCATACCACTGATGTCTTCGCTCTTTTTTGCTTCTGAATCGGATTTTGATTTTCATCACCATTATCCAAGCTACTAATACTTTGCTCCGTATTTATTGTGGTTGCATTCAAGTTAAGGTTACCGCCAGGTGTATTGGTAATTTTATCTTGTATTGCATGGGTACTTGAGGAATTACCCTCCATTTACAAACCTATAAATGGAAAAAAAAACAAAAAAAAAAATCAGCAATTTAATGCAAAACCAATATGAAATAATGTCAAACTATTACATTGCACACACATCAAACCAATACATTATACATTGCACACCAATATTAATTGTCACCAATACATCCCAACATTCATTTATTCTTTAATTAGAGATATTGGTTGAAGAATTAAATGCTCTATTTATTCATTCAAACCCCTTTTTTTTTTTTCTTTTTATATATATTTTTTGCAATTTTTAATTAATTAAATCTCTGTTTAATTACTTGTATTCAAGATGCTGAAGGAAATGATTAATTGTTGTACACTCTACACAGTACATTTATGTCATATATTTATCCATTATACGACATAAAATCTTAAAAACAGATCTATACCACAAGTGTTTTTGGGTGGATTAATGACTCCTTTAATTACAATTAATTAAATTAAATTAGATGAAATTGTGGTGTGATTTAAAGCTAGATTCAATCTTCTATCAATATGACCATGGATTATGAAAGGAATACATGGTCTTGGCTCGACAGCTTCCCAAAACTGGTACAAAATGAGCTGACATATTTTTAAATTGCCCAATCCCCACCACCAAATGCAGAACCACATTCCCACAAACATATTTATAAATTGCCCAGTCGGCTAGTCCCCACCACCAAATGCAGAACACATTCCCACAAGCCACAAACAAATTTTTAAATCGCCCAGTGCCCACACCAAATGCAAAACCACATTCCCACAAACATATTTATAAATTGCCCAGTTGGCCAGTCCCCACCACCAAATGCAAAACCACATTCCCACAAACAAATTTATAAATTAACAACCATTAACAAACTCCTTTGCAATTTAAATTTTGTCCCACAAGTCCACAACACAACCACAATCACAATTCACAAAAATAACAATTTCAGTAAACCAATTTAAACAAATAGTTAAACAGACCCAATACACGGCAAACTGCTCTTTACAGATAGTACACAAACATTAACCTTGTATGGGTTTCATAGCAACACCACCACGGTCAACCACCACAACTGTAAATAGTATGCTGTTCCCTGAATTCTTTCACCGGAAAAAGCCCCCTATTATAGACAAACAATTCACGAAAAAACAAGTTAAAATTTCATTGACATCGTTCACTTTTTGTCAATCATAGATGGGTTTCAACAGCTACCAAACCGATGAACAAACCCTAAACAAACAACCATACAGTTTGAAGAAACCCCATACTCACCAATTAAAATCCGACGAAAATCCCACAAAGATGACGAAGATCCGACGAAGATCTGACGAAGATGACGAAGATCCCGCAAAGATGACAAAGATCTGACGAGGATGAAGAAGATCCCACGAAAATCCGACGGAAATTTTGTGCTGATGATGGAGAACAAAATCGTGAGTTTGGAAGGAGTTTGAACTTTGAACTTTTACGGCAAGGGTTCTACTGGTGAAGGATTTCGACGATTTGGGGATTGTAATAACGGGGTCATTTTGTTATTTTTTAAAACTTGTGTTGCACTATTTTCAATTAAATCCCAGTAGTTCAGAAAACCTCAAAAAAACCCCGATATTTTGAGCCAGGCTCTGCTCGCAAGCCTAACGAGCTGAGCTGAGCATGGCTCGAACTCAGCTCATTCTGTCTCATGAGTCGAGTCGAGCCAGCTCGTTATCAGACGAACCAAGTCGTTAACGAGCCGGACTCAAGCCGAGCCGGCTCGCGAGCGGCTCGGTTCGTTAAGCAGCCCTAGGTATGTTATGTAGATTACTAAATTGGCCTCTTTTTTAAATAATAATATAATATTATTTTTATTATTATTTTATTCTATTATTTTTTAAACCATTTTTTAACCCCCTATATTTGAAATTTTGCTAAAACACCCCAGACATATAAAACTTTAGTTTGTAGCAAAATCACCCCCACCCACCCCAAGCCACCGTCAGCAGCCAACCACCACTGTCGATAGCCATCGTAATGGCGCACGACCAACCGGATCTGGCTGGTCATGCGCCGGTAAGGCCTAAAAATGACTAGATATGGTCGTGAATATGGTTGTTTCACGACCAACGATGTGGCCTTGAAACGGCCACAGATCTAGCTGTGAAATGGCGGTCCTTTCATGACCAAGGATCTATGGTGTTTCACAACCAAATCTATGGCGTTTCATGGCCACATCTTTGGCTGTGAAACGGCCAGATCTAGTCGTTTCCAACGATGAATCACAAATTCATGGTCAGAAACGTCCTTACCGACACACGACCAGCAAGATCCCGCCGGTCTTATGCCGATATGACGACTTTTGTCGGCGGCCAGCGGTGGCTGGGGGTATTTTGTTAACTTTTAAACTTTTTTGTGGCTGGGGCGTTTTAGCTAAATTCTCAGATGTAGGAGGTCTTGGCTAATTGTTATTTGGTAGACATATGAGAGTAAATGTGTCCGAAATGATAAAAGATTAAGGGCAAAATAGGGTCAAAATTAAGATTACCTCAGTAATCTTATATTAACACCCCTTTGGAAGGTGATTTGATTACTCCCAATATTACCAACAGTAAACACTATTTACAATAAAAGATTACGTAATATTTTATTGTTTGACAACCAAACGAGGGAATCTTAAAAATTAAACAAAGATTACAAGATTAATCTTATATCACCCCGAATCAAACGCAACCTATATTAAATGTTTTCACTATATCATCACGATGAATGATACCGTTTCATTTAATCAATGAAAATTTGAAATATTTAGCAAAATTTTATTTGACAGGAGAATAATATAATGCTACTATTAGAGCTTTCTCAAATTATCCTCCATCATTATGCTCAATTAGTTTAAAGTTTAACATAAAAAGGAGGAATTTTTCATATCTAGAACAAAATTTTAAGTGACACGAGAATAATATAATACTATTAGTTTCTCAATTTATGCTCCATCATTCTGCAAATTTAGTTTAAAGTTTAGCATAGAAAAGAAGAATTTCTCATATCCCATAACAAAATTTTAAGTGACAAGAGAATAATATGATACTATTAGGATATGTCTGGTTCTGGGAATGTTATATTATCGTAAAGATATATTACCTTGAAAATTACTGAGAATGTTTAGGTAAATGTGTTTGAATTAGGTGGAATAAATTGGTGATATGTTTGATAGGGAGAAATATATTGGTTGGTATGCCATATATATTATTAAATTGCCCTCATTTTTAAATATTAATATAATATTATATTTATTATTAATATTGAGATTAGCTAACCCCTTGTAATTTGAAATTTAGCTAAAACATCCCTATAATAAAGGCTTAAAAATTAACAAAAGACCCCAACCACCTAAGCCACTGCCGACCACCACCACCATTCTTCGACGTCGGAATGGCGCACGAACAATTTGATATGGCCGACCGTACACCGTTATGACCGTTCTCGACCAGATCCGTGACTGTTACCTACCACATAACTGACCGTTAGGAGTCATTGATTTGGCCATTTCTGACTAAATCAACGCACAACCGACTAGATTTGACCAATCGTGCACAATTCCGACGCCAACCGACATTGGTGACCAACAACCGACAACTAGTGGTGGTAGCCAGATCTGACCACCACCCTTAGATAATTTTTTTTAAAGCCCAATGGTATTTATATCTTAAAAACTTTGTATATAAAGATAAAATAGTTTATAAATATATTTATATATTGTTTTCAAAATAAAAGCATTATTATCCAAAAAGTTTAATAGTTATTAATAAAATTATAATAAAAATAAAATTATCAAATAAACTTAAAATACTTAAAAAAATAAAGATAATAAGATTATCTCCTAATTAGTAATTACTATTAATTACCTCATTCATCTAAACATAACTATTATTGATTTTAAAAGATTATCAAAATCTTATATTACTGGACATGTGATCAAGTTATCATATTACTGGACATGTGATCAAGTTATCCTCCAACCAAACGCACCCAAACTTTCTCAAATTATCCTCCAACCAAACGCACCCAAACTTTCTCAAATTATCCTCCATCATTCTACTCAATTAGTTTAAAGTTTAGCACAAAAAAGGAGGAATTTTTCATATCCCAGAACAAAATTTTATGGGACAGGAGAATAATATTATGCCCAAGTCAAGCCATGCAAACTTCAAATCACAAGTTAATAATAATTTTAAACAGGAATGTATTACTACTCAATTCTTCAAAAATGTCTTCAGAAGAGTTTTCAAAATCTGACAATATAAGTGAACATTAGAGGCACCAAAATCCACAACACCAATAGATTTCATTTCAAAAACTAAACAAAACTACTATTAAAGAAACTCCATTAATGAATACTGGCTTCATGACTAGCAAATATTCCCCAATAACTCACTTCTTCTTGCCACCTTCTGAGGCCTTGGTCTGCACAAAAAGCAATGGGATAAGAAACAAAGTCATCAAAAAGTTAACATTTATATTGCACGCCATCATCAATAAACAAACCATTGTCCATTGACACTAGGCTTTTACCTTCTTTACACCACGGATTTTCTTGGCCCTGTTCTTCCTTTCCTTCAATTGCTTCCTCGACTTCTCTACCTTGGTGTCAAGACCATTCTACATGGCAAAGGATTATAGGAACATATTAAAGCATTGCTCAAAATGACATAAGTGCAAAATATAGAAATTATCCAAAAAGGGAGGAAACTACATCCTGAACTTAATAGAATGAAAGATAATATTAGCCAGCTAAAAAAGGTGAAATCAAAAAGGGGAGAAGACAGAAGAGGTTAGGAACCATAGATGAAATAAATGCTGTCCAATTTGTGCATGTTAATGAGGCAATAAAATATGATATCCAAAATGTCTTAATGCTATTATGATGTAAGGACATTTTTATTTGTAAACAAAAATAATTTTTTTTTTTTTTTTTTTTTTTGAGTGATTGGGTTAAGAATAATCACCGACAAATCAGAAATTAACACAACTTAGCCGTGTCATCATATGTTAAAAGGCACTTGAAGGTGATTGCAAACCTAATACACATAAAATTCCAAGCAAATTATAAAATTTCTAAAATTCCGTGTAAATAGCCTTTCATTTGGGCCCTATGGATTTATCTTCAATTGATCAAAACGATATGACCATTTATCCTTCAAAAGGCCAGTCCTTTTATAGATCACTTTATAGAGTAATGATCTTTTTTCAAAGACAAAAAAGTAAAAGACGGTAAAACCCAAAACATCAGTCAAAAATGGAAGATTTTCAGCTTTAAAAAAATTTATATAAGCTAGCTATTAGAATTTTAACAATGTTGAAATATACAATAATGCAACACAAACATAATGAAACACCTTTGACTTCAATTAAACTAATGTAGGTCAGTTATCAGAATTTTAACTATGTTGAAGTATACAATTATACACACATAAATACAGTAATATATCAGCCAAAGTTTAAAAAAAAAAAAAAAATTACCCTGATAAGCCTGTACTTAGGCTCATACTTCTTCGCATTTTCAACAGAGTCGTAAATCAAACCGAATCCGGTAGATTTGCCACCTCCAAAATGAGTCCGGAACTTGAAGACAAAGATTGAGTTGGGGTCCTTAACATCGTACATTCTGGCCAACTTCTCCTTAAGCTCGGCCTAGTAAAAAGACCGAGATGCAAGGTAAACAACAAACATAGACCAATCAATCAATCAACATATCCATACACAAAACAGAATACTTCTCACTCAAAAATTAGAATCTATAGAATGAAAATCACAAATCTAATCAGTTGTGAAAAGAAAAGTATAACAGTTTAAACACCACACAGCTTCACAATTCTAACTAAAGCGGTTTGAATCTCAACAACACATTAAACTCGATTCTAGTTCTTAAATAATCATCCAGTCGACACAAAGAGCATACTAAAATAATGGAGAATCCTTGAAATCAGATGTCCAGAACTGTGATGAAATAAAGATTTACCTTTGAAACATTAGCCCTTCCTGGATGAAGAACATCAATGACCTGCATTTAACAAGGCAAACAACAAGAAACCTCAATTTTTCCACATTCATATATCACAAAAACACGATACGCCACCATTCACTATTAAAGGAACATACTTAAAAACAAACAAAAAGCTGGTAACTTAACACGAGTCAACACAAGATCTCTTCAACCCAGAAACAGCACACCTAAAGAAGCTGAACCATGTCTGATTTAAAAAAAAAAAAAAAAAAAAAAAAAGGTCAGGGGTAGAGCTTACAAATTGCTTCCTGGAAAGGAGGCGGTTTGTCATGAACTTCCTGGTACGAATGGTAACTGCCTTATCCGCCATGGCTGGTTCAAAATAATCTGCTAGATCCTAGCGAAAGATGGTGCAATAGAAGCGGTACCAGGCGCTGAAACGTAAGGAGCAGCTCTAGAAAGAGTGAAGCGAACAAAACCCTAGTTTTTATAGTAGTAGTGTTAGGGTTTCGTAATTTTGGTGCCCTAAAAAACATTTGGGTTGGGCTTTGCTAATTTTTTTGGTCTTTGGGCCTTAATGGGCCTGAAGTTCTAGGTATGGCAAGAGGAAAATTTCAGGCAAGTTTCCGAAGTTTGTGAGAATACCCAAATTAGGATATAATTGAGTTTATTTTTCAAATTTTATTAAATATAAATAAGATTTTGAACAATTAAGAAAATAATTAGTTGATTTATTAATTTATTTGTACACACACACACACACACACACACACACACACATATATATATATATATATATATATTTTTTTTTTTTTTTTTGGTAACCGAGGTGTCCAGACCAACTTACGCACACCTCAACTAATCCTTAAGGTCCATTAAATATTCTACAAATCCAATTAAATGAGTAAGACACAATTATACATTGAGGTACATGACCCCAAGGTTTCAACCCAAAAAGTCAAGGAAGGGAGTACACCTCCTTGACCACCACCAGGCACAATTTAAGAGTTATGTATTTTGAATTTATAGAAGATACATGTATTAACAAAGTCATAAGTTTACAACTTTATTTTCTATTAATTTATAACAGTCTTTCATTTTTATTTTTATTTTACTTTGTCATTTTTTTCACTATATATTTATAAATTATATTGAAATAGAAATTTATCAAACACTTCTTTTAAAATTTCGGAATATATCTAAAATTTATTTATAACATATTATACAAGACGTAATAGTTAATTTTACTTGTGTGGATACGAGCATTAGGATGTTCGAATCCAAATTTAAGAAATTGATGAATTTTCTAATTTATCAGCTAGCTTTGAGAATGATATTAAGAAAATGGATATATATATTTGTCAATTTAACACTATATTTTGGTTGTTATAATAAAAAATGTTTAAATTGTGGATTATAGTATAAAAATATTATTATTTTTTATTTATTTAAGAATTAGGTTAGGGCACATCTCTAGCTAAGTGTAGCTCAAATGTGTGTGTGTGTGATTTTTTTTTTTTTTTTTTTTGGGTGATTGGTGGTGTTTGGGCAGTTTGCGTGTACTCCAACTAATCTCTTGAAGCCTTGAAGTTAGAGGTGGGCAAGGGACTGGTCCCTTGCGGGCCCAGGCCTGGGCCCAGTCACTCATGGGCCTGGGACCGGTCCCAGGCCCATGAGAAAAACCAGGACCCGGACCAGGCCTTAGGCCTGGTCGAGACTGGGCCCATAGGACCGGTCCCATGGGCCTTGGATAATTTTATTTTCCTCCCTCAAATTTTTTATATTTTAGGGGTAAAATAAAATTTTATAGGGGGTTTTTAGTATTTTTTAGGGGTAAAATTTATAAATTTTATAAATTTTTTAGACCTGGAGGATTTTTTTTTTATAAATTTTATAAAATTTCATTTTAGCCCTCGTAATTTATATTTATTATAAAATTAATAGGGGTTTTATGTAATTTGGCAGGGACTACATTGAAAAAATACAAAAAAATTTGGGCCCGGGGACTTGGAGGAGGGCCCAGTGGAGGGCCCAGGCCCTCCTCCTTAGCGGGACCAGGCCTCCTAGGTTTGGTCCTCTTAAGGACCGGTCCTAGGACCGGGTTTTAGAGCTGGGCTTTTGGGACCGGCCCCAAATGCCCAGCTCTACTTGAAGTTAACAATTTGGGTGAATTCACTCAATGATCATCCCTATTAGCAACTCAGATAGATCAAATTTAAGATCTTTTGAGTAATATACTCAAAAGCACTAATTGACTATCGAACCACCTAGTGGTGGTTCGTGTAGCCCAAATTTATCTATAACAAATTAATAAATTTCCAATGTCTTAAAGGAATTTTATGATAAATACATTTTTGATTATCTAAAATGTATTTAATAATTCTAAAAGGTATTTAATAGGTTATGATAAATACATTTTAGATAATCACGATTAATTTTAACAATTATAAGAGATATTTATTAATGTAATGAAATGCTTGAAATTTACCAATATCTCCAGCAGCCAAAACAAAAGTTACAAGAAAATATTTTACAAAATAGGCTGAATGACATTGTAAACCCCAATCTATCGTGAAAGGACAATTTTCCTTGTCTAGTTTTGGAAACACCCAGTATTATTCCCAAAGTTATCTCCCTCCATCTCATTTTCTATGTATCTAGCTTTGACCACTAAAATTTCAGTTTTACCCTCGTTTTCGTTATTAGAAGAATAAATAATTTCAAAATTAATTAATGAAAAAAATGGAAAATAGCAATTCATAACAAATCAATAAATCATCAAATATATAAAAAAAAAAAATCAATCCTAGAATATATCATCCAAAATCATAAATTTAATGATTTGATTGTGGGATTTGTGATTCTTGATGCTCTTGAGTTACAACGGTATGTATTTAGGAAATTAATTTGAAAAAGTTTTACTATTTATTGGTGTTTAGCTGAAAGATTTTAATTTATAAATTAAAATTTAGTGTGTTATATATGTGAGCTGAATTAACAAGACTATCCTTTGTCGTTTAAGTTTAACATTTGAATTTAAAAAAAAAAAAAA